ATCAGATTACCTTGCATGTACAATATTAAAAATATTTATTTTTAAAGGCAATTGCTACATTTTACTCTTTTCTGGGAAAACTTCATTCACCTACATATATATCACTCTACTTCCTTTTTTTCTTGGTCTTAATCTGAGAACAAAGATTTTGATATTAACTGAATATTGTTTGTAGTAGATTATATTGCTTTAAACTTTCATTTTATATTTTTAATGTCTCTTGCTCTTGGCAAGTTATAATTCAGGAAGGCAGAAAGATCAATCTTAGCATGTAGAAGGAAAGTATTTAGCAGCCAAGATAGTTGGCATTTAGGCAAGTTAAATTTTTTCAGCATTTTTGAAGATATAAGATAATGTAGAAAATGTTATAGGGCTGTTTACAAATTAGGATATAGAGCCTATACCTTGAATCCATAGGGTAGATTTTTATCTTCTTCTTGTTGTTTTTCAACATAAGAAAATAGTACCATACCTTAAAAATAGTTCACACGATGCTGGGCAAATGAATCTTGTCATTTGGAATAAGATAGTCTTATCATGTGTTGAAATTTAAGAAATTGTTCTAGTTATACTCACTTATAGTACACACGTGTCTCCCCTTTGGGTCTTCTACACCTAGGTCATCTGTTTACATCTACTGGACTAAGAATGACAGCAAGCAAACCTTGAGGCTCAGTCTGTTTGCTCAAAAATACTGGTACCACTGGTATACCAGAAATCAGATTGATTATATTCTTTGCAGCCAAAGATGGAGAAGCTCTAAACAATCAGCAAAAACAAGACTGGAAGCTGACTGTGGCTCAGATCATGAACTCCTTATTGCCAGGCTCAGACTTAAATTGAAGAAAGTAGGGAAAACCACTAGGCTATTCAGGTATGACTTAAATCAAATCCCTTCTGATTATACAGTGGAAGTGAGAAGTAGATTCAAGGGATTAGATCTGATAGACAGAGTGCCTGAAGAACTATGGATGGAGGTTCGTGACATTGTACAGGAGGCAGGGATCAAGACCATCCCTAAGAAAAAGAAATGCAAAAAGGCAAAATGGTTGTCTGAAGAGGTCTTACAAATAGCTGAGAAAAGAGAAGTGAAATGCAAAGGAGAAAAGGAAAGATATACCCATTTGAATGCAGAGTTGCAAAGAATAACAAGGAGAGATAAGACAGCCTTACCCAGCGATCAATGCAAAGAAATAGAGGAAACAACAGAATGGGAAAGACTAGAGATCTCTTCAAGAAAATTAGAGATACTGAGGGAACATTTCATGCAAAGATGGGCTCAATAAAGGACAGAAATGGTAGGGACCTAACAGAAGCAGAAGATATTAAGAAGAGGTGGCAAGAATACACAGAATAACTGTATAAATAAGATCTTCACGATCCAGATAATCACGATGGTGTGATCATTCACACTCACCAAGAGCCAGACATCCTGGAATGTGAAGTCAACTGGGCCTTAGAAAGCATTACTACGAACAATGCTAGTAGAGGTGATGGAATTCCAATTGAGCTATTTCAAATCCTGAAAGATGATGCTGTGATGATGCTTCACTCAATATGCCAGAAAATTTGGAAAACTCAGCAGTGGCCACAGGACTGGAAAAGGTCAGTTTTCATTCCAATCCCAAAGAAAGGGAATGCCAAAGAATGCTCAAACTACCGCACAAATTGCACTCATCTCACACGCTAGTAAAGTAATGCTCAAAAATCTCCAAGCCAGGCTTCAGCAATAAGTGAACTGTGAACTTCCAGATGTTCAAGCTGGTTTTAGGAAAGGCAGAGGAATCAGAGATCAAATTGCCAACATCCGCTGGATCATTGAAAAAGCAAAAGAGTTCCAGAAAAACATCTATTTCTGCTTTATTGACTATGCCAAAGCCTTTTACTGTGTGGATCACAATAAACTGTGGAAAATTCTTCAAGAGAGGGGAATACCAGACCACCTGACCTGCTTCTTGAGAAACCTGTATGCAGGTCAGGAAGCAACAGTTAGAACTGGACAAGGAACAACACACTGGTTCCAAATAGGAAAAGGAGTATGTCAAGGCTGTATTTTGTCACCCTGCTTATTTAAATTATATGCAGAGTACATCATGAGAAATGCTGGGCTGGATGAAGCACAAGCTGGAATCAAGATTGCCGGGAAAAATATCAATAACCTCAGATATGACACCACCCTCATGGCAGAAAGTGAAGAAGAGCTAAAGAGCCTCTTGATGAAAGTGAATGAGGAGAGTGAAAAAGTTGGCTTAAAGTTCAATATTCAGAAAACTAAGATCATGGCATCTGGTCTGATCACTTCATGGCAAATAGATGGGGAAACAGTGACTGACTTTATTTTTGGGGGCTCCAAGATAACTACAGATGGTGATTGCAGCCATGAAATTAAAAGACGCTTACTCCTTGGAAGGAAAGTTATGACCAACCTAGATAGCATATTAAAAAGCAGAGACATTACTTTATTAACAAAGGTCCATGCAGTCAAGGCTATGGTTTTTCCAGTGGTCATGTATGGACGTGAGAGTTGGACCATAAAGAAAGCTGAGCGCTAAAGAATTGATGCTTTTGAACTGTGGTGTTGCAGAAGACTCTTGAGAGCACCTTTGACTGCAAGGAGATCCAACTAGTCCATCCTAAAGGAGATCAGTCCTGGGTGTTCATTGGAAGGACTGATGTTGAAGCTGAAACTTCAGTACTTTGGCCATCTGATGTGAAGATCTGACTCATTTGAAAAGACCCTGATGCTCTGAGGGATTGAGGGCAGGAGGTGAGCGGAAGACAGAGGATGAGATGGTTGGATGGCATCACCAACTCAATGGACATGTGTTTGGGTAAACTCCAGGAGTTGGTGATGGACAGGGAGGCCTGGCGTGCTGTGGTTCATGGGGTCGCAAAGAGTCAGACGTGACTGAGAGACTGAATTGAGCTGAAGTCTTACTAACTGATTACCTAATGAATTGAACAGTTGAAGTTCATTCATTATACATTTTTATATTCAAAATCTACAAAGGGAGTTTCATTTGAGGACAAATTTCTACTCTCACATGTGACAGAGAGATATAGGATAATGTTGGGTGATATAAAATACAGTGTAACTAAGTTTGTAGAGGTCAATTTAACATTTGACATAAACATGAACTCTGGATATGTTATAGGTTTGGGTGGGGAATACCTAGGACGGTTTAAAGCCTGTACTCTAAATATTTGGTCTGTATGTTTTAATTCCCCCAGTATTTTGAGTATGTCCAGGTGTGAATTTTAAACTATAAGGATAGTTTTGTTTACCCTAAATGTGAAACACAGCCAACCAGGGCCATCCAGGGAAGAGAAGATCCTCAAGGACCTGTTTAGACAGTTGCTTCTGGAAAAGAAATGGTCTTTAGTCAAAGAGTTGTCAATCCTATTTTTAAAGATTGATTAGGAAGTTGATTTTTTCTTCCTTCTGTCCTTGGAGAAAATGAAAAATAACAGGTGCTCTTCTACTTTAGACTAACCATTCATATACTTTATGACAGTTAAGTCTCCCTGGAGCCTTCTCTTCTCCAGGACAAATTATGCAAACTCCTTCAGTCTGTCCTCATAGGTCCTATGTTTCAAGCATTAAATCATCTTATTGTTCCTCCCTGTATCTTTTCCAATTTCTTCAATATCCTTTTAAAAATATAAAGTCTTAAAGTTGATACCTTTGCATATATTAGATCAGATTGAACTTCAGGAGTATATTTATGTTTATCTTCTATGTCAGAGTGATGGTCACTATGACACAGGTCAGTTGGATGAGAGGGATAAGAAGAAAAAGAGAACCCAGATGTGTTGTTTAACATTTGACTCAATAGATTTATATGATGAGAAATAATAAAGATTGTGTCTGAGAAATGTCATAAGGGTTCTTTATCAGTCACATGAGAAGATGCCAAAGCACTATGAATATTATAAAAACAATCAGAACTGCTTTTGCTTCTTTTCTTGGCTAAATAACCTGTTTGTTTGTTTGTTTGTTTGTTTTACTAATTATAACTGTGCAAGGGAAAAGATTACTAGGTGAGTTTACATAATACCAGATTCTGGACAAAAATGTATAACAGTGGAAGATGAGAACTGCTAATCAAAGGAAGAAGGTAAGGATTCAACACTAGAGTGACCTCAGCTTAATTAAGAGCTGGATCTACCTTTTCAAGCAGATATTAGTGCCATTCAAAGGCACTGACAGAATGTTACATAGTGAAGATTTATGTTTTGATTGATATCTGATTGCATATTTTGATCATATACAGTCAAAATCATAGCAAGAGTGTGATTTTGAGTTTGTTGGTAAGTTGTCCTTATAGGGTTTATAGCACTACATTGGTTTCTCTGTGGCATCACCTCAACTTCATGTGATTGGCATGCCACAATCATTTCAACCTCTCCATCATATAAGGGCCAGAAGGAACCCATAAACTTATAAACCAAGTTCCCCTCCATGGTAGTTACTATGAGAGTACTTTTCCATTGCAATAAAGACCTAGAATAAAAGCTCCAAACTTTCTAGTCTTCCTTATTTCTACTTAAGTGCATCAGTAATTGATTTTTGTAATTCGTTGATAACTTTAAGTCTTGTCTATGTACAAAGCAAAATACCTGGCATTTATGCTACTCTCTATCCTGGGTTATATACTAGGAACTGCTTCATAACCTCCACAAAAGAGAAATCCAATCACTACAAAAAAGATGGTAGTGCATTGGTTCCAAAATTCTCCTTATAAATCAACAATAAATACTAGGGAGCACAACAAAGTCAGCTTGTAAGAGCTTAATACCCCAGATGGAAAACTTCATGAGTCACCCATTGCTGGCTCACTTTCACTTTAAGGTGGGATACAAATATTAATTGGCCATGCCCACATTGAAAAATTGCACAGGTAGATCCCAGAGGGCTTCTGCATTGAATGGTATGCAGTGGTGGAGCATCTGTATTGTGCACTAACCCCTCTTTGAAAGCTAATGCAGTATGGTCTTACCATTTTTGCAGACAGGACAACACTGCTCTGGTTCATAGACTGGGTTGACACACTCAGGAACTGCGCAGTCTGCTACAACACAGTGAACTTCATTGCTGGGCTCACAGCGACACCATTCACATGGAGAGGGCTAGGAACAAATCTAAAATTAGCCCCTTTTCTCCTATAACTTAATGCTTGCACATTCATATGCTGTCAGAAGATAAAACATCAGTGTTTATATTGGCTTTACTGTATTAACTCCATTTACCATGTGTATGATCATTCTTTCCCCATGGAAGGCCACCTGGACACCCTAACCAAGGGTGTGTGGCTTGGTGGGTTGCCAAGTGCAGCTCAGGTTGCCATGAGCAACCAGAGCGCTCATATATGACGTTTCCTATGTCTTATGTTCCTACTTTCCAAAGAAAGGTTTGGATAGCTAATATGTCACCTCCTGGTTTGGTTTCCAGATGCACTGGTTGCTATGCCTTCCTCTGGTAAACAGGCATGACACTGGCACGTGTGCAATAAGTTTTTTCCATTTGTCATTTTTTCCTGCAAAGAAAGGATTACTGAGAATTGAGAAAATAGTAAATGGACAGCTTTACCCTTGGTAGAAACTCCTTTTCAAGCTAACCTAGATTCTAAAGGGCATTTTTTTCCAATGTGAATTTTAGAGGCGATTGCATTTGGGATCCAAATGTCCAGGTACTGCCTCTTGGAAGATTTAGTGAATACCTTTCATCTTGCCTGCTTGCTTTTATGAATGAACTAAAACGGACAGACTTTAAAAAGTCACTATTTAAGAGTCAGAGGACTCTAAAAGTAAAATTGAACAGTGATTCATTTAGAGAAAAAAATTAAGAAGTAGACGCCAATTTTTGTCTTCACAGTACTTACCAGACAAGAATGAGTTTGGGGTTTTCTCATTCCTTTCTAGAAACTTCCTATACCACAAATAATCTAAAGCAGTGGCCACTCTGTGACTTTCTTACCTTTTATACTTTCTAGTTTTTCCTTCTCATAAAATAGAGGTTGAAAATTCTGGAATGAAAACTTGGAGTTCTCAGAAGTTATACAGGTCTAACAAGCCATTTATCCATGGAAAGTTCTGCCTCCAATTTCTTTGCCACAGTGACTCACTTGAAAACTGTGTTCATTCAAGTCCACGGCCTTTGTCTCAGTGATGACTGTCCATAAAACCTGTCAGCTCTTGTCTCTTTATGACCTTGACACTTTGTGAAATATCAATGCATCTTGACTCAGGTAGTCTGTGAGAGTATAAACCTTTCAACTAATTACAAGTTAATTTTATCTGTGGTTTCTATTTGAAGAATGATAGTCTAGCTTTCTCATTTTAATGTTCTTTTTATTGGTGATGGTTTAGTCGCTAAGTCAGGTCTGACTCTTGCAAGCACATGGACTGTAGCCTGCCAGGCTCCTCTGTCAGTGGCATTCTCTAGGCACGGATATTGGAGTTGGTTGCCATTTCCTTCTCTAGGAGATCTTCTTGACTGAGGAAGCAAACCTGGGTCTCCTGCCTTGCAGGCAGATTCCTGACTGACTGAGCTATGAGGGAAGCCAATGTTCTTTTTATTTTTAACTGGAGGATAATTGCTTTACAATACTGTGCTGGTTTCTGCTATATAACAGTGAATCAGCCATAAGTATACATATGTCCCCTCCCTGCTGAGCCTCCATCCCACCTACCCACACCACCCACTAGGTCATCACAGAACACCAAGCTAAGTCCCTGTGTTATACGGCAGCTTCCCACCAGCTACCTATTTCACACTTGGTAGTGTACATATTTCAATGCTACTCTCTCAATTTGTCCACCCTCTCACCCTCCCACTGGGTCCATAAGTCTGTTCTCTGTGTCTGCATTTCTATCCTTGCCCTGAAATAGGTTCATCAGTACCATTTTTCTAGATTCCGTGCATATGCACTAATATGTGATATGTTCCTCTCTTTATGACTTCACTCTGTATAATAAGCTCTAGGTTCATCTGCCTCACTAAAGCTGACTTAAACTCATTCTTTTTTATGGCTGAGTAATATTCCACTGTATTTACATCCCATGACTTTTTTTATCTGTTCATATGAGTTTAGCTTTCAGTGATTTTTTTTTTACTTTCAAATTTAGTAGATACAATAGAATTAGCCATAGAATCCATGGAAGAAATATAGCTATCTCTTAGCATTGTCAACTAGTTTATTGGTGAGTACAGTTAAGCTCTTTACCATGTGGTTAAGTATTCCAGAAAAATCTACTGTATCATCCCAAGGGCTAGAATATTCCTGGGGCTCCTCTACCAAATAATGTCAGTAAATTAAGGAAAAGTTTGTTACTACAACCCATTATTTGATGAAGGAAATTCTGAGTGAGGAAACAGTGTGAGAGACGGATATTCAATCTGTTATACTACTTCCTATTTTGCAAGTCCCATTGTGATATCTTAAATTCCAAAGCAAACTTGTCAGAAGGTGTCTCCCTTTTCTTTATTAGTTGCAAAGAAGTACTTTTGCATAGCCTTCTGATGTACAGCAAAGACTTAGTCTGAATTTATCGCTAACATGAGAGAAAATGGGAGCTGCATTGTTTCTGCACCTTGCCCTTCCACAGCTGTGGTTGTTCTGCTGGTTCCCTTCTTGCTGAAGGAGAGGCTGATCTGTGCAACTCTAGTGGACTGATTTGGGCATTAAAAATCCCAAAGAGCTCCTGGATTTTCCAATGCAAAACATTTATTTCAAAGTATCTGCAGTCATGGAGAAAGATTTGTTGGGTTATTAGATTCCAAGTGCAGACTGAGGAAGAACACCATTCTGATTCAAATGATATTTTTGAAATTAACTGTTGAGTATCACGCTGTATCAAGTTACTTATTTTTCATGATAACTTACTATGAAAGATGTTTTGTTATTTTCTCCATCTCACAGATAAGCAAATAGACTGAGAGCGGTTCAATAGGTCCTGTAGGCAGTAGGGGAAGGGCAGGGTTTGAATTTAGGCAGCCTAACTGCTATATAGTCATGCTATGTGGTGTCTATTCTGTGCACACTCATCTGAATAGTTTTTTTTTGTCCAGTGTGTTGTACACCTCTCTAGGCCAATGAGATCCACGAAAATAACCATTAGCAACTGAATGAAGGATTTATAGAGGATAGATACTTCCTGCTAAGAAAGAGAATTTCACTAACTAAGTTTGTTGGTAAATAGACTTTGTCGGTAAATTATGGAGCAGTAGAACTTTTAAATTGCCTGCCAATGTGAGTTTATAGAAAATTGTAATAGGCTAGAGATAGTTTGCCATGAGGCTCATGTTCTTGGTGACTTTGGCATCTTCAAGTCTTGTAACCTGGTAGCTACACTCATGGTAGTTATCTGGGAGAGGCAATAACAGATAATGGTCCCGTAAAGACCTCAGGGCCTCTGCCTGAAATCAGTGGTGGCTGGAAGTGTACACAATGGATTCCTGAAAAATACTCTAAGGAAGAGCTAATACTACAAGGCTTCCTCATAAGAGGATGGTAGACTTTTGAAAGGGATTTTTGAATAACAAGAAGCACTAATTAGAAAAATAAAAATGTCACCCTAGCCACTGGCAGCTTCTAATCAATCTTTCCCTGAACCTGGCTTTATTTACATACCAGTTTCTCTTCCTGGTCTAGAATCTCTTTTCAAGAAACCTGTTAGTTCTTTGTTTTTTATTTGATTGTTTTTTCAAAGAATGCCTCTGTTACAGCCTACTTCTCTTTGCAAGCCTCCATGTGCCCATCCCCAGCCCCTCTAAATACTCTTCTCAAATTTAATCTACTGATCTTACACTAAAGCCCCCGTCTGTCCTGTGCAGGCTCCCTCCCTAAGCCTCTTTCCTTTCCTGAGCTCTCCAGTTCACCCATCATTTTCTTGCCTCATTTGATTTCCTGCACCACTCTACTTTCAAAGTCATTGCTTATACAGTCAGAAGTTCCTAGGAGTGGGCAGTGTGCGCCTTTAACATTAACATTACTGTAAAAATCCTTCACACTTATTTACATTGCTGTAAAAATCCTTCCCACCTTGCAGCATAAAACTCTGAAAGGTTTGATGCTTTGAATAAATCTTTACATCTTAAGCACTGAGCTGATTACAAATTTCCTTTTATCATGCTCTTCAATGTGAAGACTATAGATTAAATCTGAAAGTGTCTCCCGTAAAACCAAAGATTAAACAATAAAGCTATCCTTCGAGGAACAGAGAACATTGGAACAAGTACTTTGGGAAAAAAAAAATTATTCTTGCTAGCTCTTTTTTTTCTTTTATAAGAACATGTGAAATTATGATCAGTACATGGCTTCTGTCAATTAGAGATTTGGTCAGTAAGATGATTAAATGACACCATCCTAAAATTTTATACAAGGAAAATCTTTTTCTAACATATCTCACAGAGCATTTTATTTCAATGAAAGTTCTGAAAAATAAAGTAACACTCACTGTATACGTCTTTACATAAATTTTAATTGAAATTAGGTTTAGAGGTCAAATTTATTTCTTAATGTTTGTACTAGGTGATCTGAATATTGTATGTGTTATGAATGTGTATGCCTTCATCTTAGTTATTTTGAACATGTTATCTGTTTAAGCAGAAACCATACATTTTATCTACAGTTTCTGCTGTGATTAAATTATTTGTGTGGCAAATCCAAATGCTATCCAGGCCATTCCTAGAGTTCAAGGGATGTCCTCCTATAGATGTATTTATTTATTTTGAAACTAATAGAATGCAAAGGGACTCTTTCTTAACTCTTGGTTTAGGTGACTAGAGCTCAAAGCTTCCTTCTTGGTTTTAGAATGGAAACATGGCAATAAAGCAATATGCACCCTTTAAACTATGGTTTATCACTGAAGACCTTGAAGCTGAGATCCTAATGCCGTTGTCTGTGACTTTTGAGATTTCTTGCAGAATCAGAATCCAGAATCCTGCAAACAGTAGAATGCTTTGTGATTTTAAAAATGCAAAAAGTAGGCTGAGAACTGGTAACTTAGGTTAGTGGAGGGACTGAGTAACTACAGAAAAACTGTCACATATGTTCTTTGTGAAAATCTGAAGCTAATGTGATTATCACTTAGCATCATTATAAGATTATTAGAACATGTTATTGGAG